GAAGAACGTGCATTATGTCCCCTCCGTCAATAAAAATCTTGTTAGCGGATCTCTTCTGTGTAGAGATGGCTATAAGCTTGTCTTTGAGTCGAATAAATTTGTAATATCCAAGTGAAACCTTTGTTGGTAAAGGCTATGAGTCAGGAGGCCTGTTTCGTTTATTCTTATCAGACGTTTGCAATAAAGTTGTTAATCATATTTGCAACAATAGTGAATCAAATGTGTGGCATTCACGTCTTTGTCATGTTAACTTTGGTTGCATGTCGCGACTAGCAAAGTTGAACTTAATCCCTAGTTTCACCACTGTCAAGGGATCTAAGTGTCAAGTTTGTGTGCAAGCTAAACAACCTCATAAGTCTCACACTACTGCGGAAACGAGAAATCTTGCACCACTAGAGCTCATACATTCAGATCTATGTGAAATGAATGGTGTTTTGACGAAAGGTGGAAAGAAATATTTCATGACATTAATTGACGACTCCACTAGATACTGCCGTGTGTATCTTCTGAAATCTAAGGATGAGGCTTTGAACTTTTTCAAGATCTATAAAGCTGAAGTGGAAAACCAACTTGATCGGAAAATCAAGAGGCTTAGGTCCAACCGTGGTGGAGAGTATTTTTCCAATGAATTTGATGCTTTTTATGCGGAATATGGTATAATCCATGAGAGGACACCTCCCTATTCACCTCAGTCAAATGGGGTGGCTGAAAGAAATAACCATACTCTAACTGATTTGGTTAACGTCATGTTAGACACATCGGGTCTCTCCAAGGCATGATGGAGGGAGGCGATATTGACAACATGTCATGTCCTAAACCGAGTCCCCACAAATAACAAAGAGATAACTCCATTTGAGGAATGGGAGAAGAAAAGGTTAAAGATCTCTTATCTACGAACATGGGGTTGTTTGGCGAAAGTCAATGTGTCAATTCCAAAGAAGCGCAAGCTTGGACCAAAGACCGTGGATTGTGTTTTCTTGGGATATGCTTTTCATAGCATTGGATATAGATTGTTGGTTGTAAAATCTGAGGTATCTGACATGCATGTCGGTACGATCATGGAGTCGAATGATGCGACTTTCTTTGAAGATATCTTTCCCATGAAGGATATCACTACCTCATCTAATCAAGAGATGCCTAGTTCATCGAATCAGGAACCAGTTACAATTACCGAACCTGCCATTTCGATGGAACACTTTGAAAGTCCTGTGAAGGAGAACAATGATGTTCCTACTAGGAGCAAGAGACAAAGGACTGCAAAGTCCTTTGGTGATGATTTTCTTGTGTATCTCATAGATGACACTCCCAGTTCTATTTCAGAGGCCTATGCATCTGAAGATGCTGACTACTGGAAGGAAGCGGTTCGTAGCGAGATGGATTTCATCTTGGCGAATGAAACTTGGGAGATAACTAATCGTCCTTATGGGTGCAAATCTATAGGATGCAAATGGGTATTCAAGAAGAAGTTTAGGCCTGATGGTACTATTGAAAAGTACAAGGCTCGGCTCGTGGCTAAGGGTTATACCCAAAAGGAAGGTGAAGACTTCTTTGATACTTACTCACCTGTGGCTCGACTGACCACTATTCCAGTTCTACTTTCACTAGCTACCTCACATGGTTTTCTCGTTCATCAAATGGATGTTAAGACTGCTTTCCTAAATGGAGAGTTGGACGAGGAAATTTATATGGAACAACCAGATGGGTTTGTACTAGATGGTCAGGAAAGAAAAGTGTGTAAGTTGCTGAAGTCTTTGTATAGACTCAAGCAAGCACCCAAACAGTGGCATGAGAAGTTTGAAAGAACTTTAACAGCTGCAGGCTTTGTTGTAAACGAAGCTGACAAATGTGTGTACTATCGCCATGGTGGGGGCGAGGGAGTTATCCTTTGCTTGCATGTTGACGACATACTGATTTTTGGATCAAATCTGAATGTTATTAAGGAGGTCAAGGACTTTCTATCTCGCTGTTTTGAGATGAAAGATTTAGGAGTGACTGATGTCATTCTGAACATCAAGTTGTTGAGAGACAATGATGGTGGGATCACATTGCTTCAATCTCACTATGTGGAAAAGATCTTGAGTCGCTTTGGCTATAGTGAATTCAAGCCCTCTCCAACACCATATGATGCTAGCGTGTTGCTTTGAAAGAATCGAAGAATTGCTAGAGACCAATTGAAATATTCTTAGATTATTGGCTCGCTTATGTACTTAGCCAGTGCTACAAGACCTGACGTCTCTTTTGCTGTTAGCAAAACTAAGTCGGTTTGTTTTAAAACCAGGAGATGTGCACTGGAAAGCTCTAGAGAGAGTTTTGCGTTATTTGAAAGGCACTGTAAATTATGGAATTCACTACACTGGGCACCCAAAAGTTCTTGAAGGGTATAGTGACTCAAACTGGATCTCAAATGCTGATGAGATAAATGCCACGAGCGGTTATGTATTCACTCATGGAGGTGGTGCTGTTTCTTAGAAGTCTTGTAAGCAAACCATCTTAACGAGGTCAACAATGAAAGCAGAACTCACAACACTAGATATAGCTACGGTCGAAGCAGATTGGCTTCGTCGGCTCTTGAATGACTTGCCGACTGTTGAGAAACCTGGGTATCCTTATGAACTGCGACAATCAAACTGTGATCACGAAAGTGAGCAGCTCAAAGGATAACATAAAGTCATCAAGGCACGTTCAAAGAAGGTTAAAGTCTGTCAGGAAAATGAAAAACTCCGGAGTTATTGCACTGGATTATATCCAAACATCTAAAAATCTAGCAGATCCTTTTACTAAGGGTCTATCACGTAATGTGATAGATAATGCATCGAGGGAGATGGGTATGAGACCCACAATATGAGTTGTTCACAGTGGTAACCTATTCTTTGTGATCGGAGATCCCGTGAATTAGATGTGAAAGACAAGCTGTTGATCAACTGAGAGGAGAGTATCCTTACTATTAACAATACCACTCCATGAAGATGCAATACTCTCCTAATCTGCATGGCAGGTTGATGTATATCTTAATGTGTTCTAAGTGGATTATTTAAGCAGAGATATTATCCTGCAAAATATATTTTGAAGAACACATCTATATGAGTCTGATTGTCAAACGTCGCAATCTATGAGAGTAGGGTTCTCTCTAGTAAACTCATGAAAGGTCACGGAGTATGACGCATAAGCTCCACCCACGGGGAAGACCCACGGTAGCCTAGTATCTGTTAAGCCTTTATGTGAAGCTAGATTCGCAGAAAACTTGCAGTTCAAGGCCCAGTCCACTATTCAAGTTGCTTACAAGTGTAGCATAGAGTTCTAGGTGCAAGTTAAACGTAACAGTCTCCACTGCAATGCCGGTATATCAAATAGTGTTTTGGAATCAAAGAAAAATTGTTGTGTGCCTCTGAGATCTGGTGGGGGATTGCTGGAAGTTAGTCTATTTTGGGACAGCCCAATAACTATTTCAGAAATTCCTAAATAAATCTTAGAGGCCCACTTAGCCCATTTGTGCAAGGCAAGGGATACTACTAAAGTTTAGTACCACATTGCTAGTTTAGTGGGAGTTGGACCTCCTTATAAGGGAGGTTCTTTCCCCACTTGTATGAGCATGAGAACAAGAGGGACATCCACGCGCGCTCCTCCGCCGCCGCCCGCCTCGCCACGCCACGCCACGCCACGCCACGCTCGCCTCATCGCGACGCGACGCGGGAATGAGCCGAGCCGATGTCTAAATTTTTGTCACGCACTACGGGTATACGAAAGGCCACTCGAGAGCTGGAAAGTTTTTGTTGTAGTGGACATTGAATACGAACGCTGCACCCTTCGGCTGCTGCCTGTTCGTTTTGTCTCCCGCGTTCCCTTCAACTCCCGGCGTAGCCTCCCGCCTCCTTCTCACCAGAACTTCTTCCTCTCGCCACAGGATCTAATCTTTGAGCTACTGCTGTCTTCCTCATCCCGGCTTGCGGCGTGCACCGCGAGTCGGGACAGTAGGACTCCGAAACCGCACCTATTTGAGTCATGTACGGGAGAAGGGTGATAAGTTTTTTGGGGAGCGCTCAGCGCGACTACTGACTTCTTCGTCACGGACGCCCCGAACTCTGACGACTATTTCCCCAACGACGATTTCTTCCCCGACGTCGACAACCTCCTCGACGACATGGCCGGCGAGGACACCGACCCCAAGTCCACTGCTGCTGCTGCTGTCCCGTATGTGTTCTTCTCCTTTCTATTCGAGGTCCTGCCACAATTTCTTGTTCTGTTGTTTGCCGTACATATGTTAGGTCCTACTTCATATATGAAACTTGCCCTACTATCTGCTCTAGAGAAACTTGGTTACAGTTCCTATATGCAGATGTTATTTACCTTCTCTCTGTCAGATCGCATGACTAATTTTGTCACTGTTATATTAGTCATACTTTATCTAATATTTATGTTAATAAAATCATTTGATAAATTGCTCATATTTCCAACACTTAGTCTGTGATTTACCTACCCATATTAATAAGAAAAGGCTAGCGCTCAACCGGGTGATATTTTGGCGCGCCGTTCGTCACCTCGTGTGTATGACGCGTGCCCCATCGATCATGTTACAAATGACGGCGACAGCACCAAAAACGGTTGCAACATAGACCGCGTTGCAATGAAAACTTCCTTTTTACATGAACCATAGAATATGGTTCGACGGAGCGCAACACGGCTCATGTTGCAAAGCCCCAAAGCAATAACAAGCCATGTTGTGAAGGATGGGGGAAGATCGGATGGTTGCGGAGGCGGCCAGGCGCACCAAGTTGGTAGGTGAGAATTGCTCGATCTCCTTGACTCGTTGATTAAGAAATTGTAGGCTCTCCTTGATTCATTAATCATGTGTCCACCTTTTTTGTGCTCAATTGCCCTTTCATCGCTCAAAAATACATGAACAAAGAGGCGGCAAATTTTACACGCGATCAAAAATAAAGGAAAATACGAGAGAAGGCCTTTGCCATCTCTCAGTTTGTCAAGTGGCCAGTTGAGTTGTAGCATTAGCATGGTAGTGCGGCGTAGCTCTCCTCGTGTATAGTCTCCAACGTGGGCCGCCGCCTCGACAAGCGACCGCCACGTATCCGTTGATTGAGCTCTTCGATCTCTGCCCCAGCCGCTTCGTTGTCCACGGCCATCTCATCCAACCGCGGCGTCCTGACCGGCCCGACGTCCGCCTCGGCGGCAACGGAAGCCACCCCGGGCGGCGCCACGACGATGTCCGCCACCTTGGCCGAAGCGGGCCTCCGGGCATGAGCCTCGCTGGCGAAAACGTCGGCGGGCACGGCCTTGGAGCCAAGCCGCTTCATGGGGAAGGCGGCGTAGACTCTCCCGAGCTCGAGGTCCTCATCAGCCGCAAGCGCCTCGATCCGGCGCCCCGCCTGCAGCGCGCGCGCGTCGGCCAGAAAATGGCCCGGCGCCTCGAGCATCAGCTCAGCCGCCGTCGCCGGGGGCCTGACCAGCCACAGCCCGCCACCGGGGAGCACGATCCTGACGTCCTTGGCCGCCCCGGGGATCATGGCCAGCATGCAGGACGCCAAGTTCCCCATGCCGAAGAGAGTCAGAGATAGGGTAAAGGCGAAGACAGAGTGCAAGGAATGAGAGCTGTGATGGTTCGGCGTGTGTGGCTGCGCTGCGTGGGATCGGTTGCGCGGGGGATATATGCTAGCCGGAGGAAACGCGTGATATAATAGGAGCATACTGAGACGCGGATGTTTGGTATATGTGTGTATATATACTTTATATGGAAAAAAATAGCGTATGTGCATCGTGTAGCTTTAGGTTAGGCCCTAGTAGCTTTGGTTTTTCGGCCGTTCATCGTCTTCACTTCAGAGGTGGCGATGGCAATGCTGAATAAAGAAGGTTCAGATTTGTCTTCAACGAAGCAATCGGTTCTATTGTTGAGGATGAATTTGAAAATTAGTCTGTTCAAATAAGGATGGTGTGGCGGCGGCATCATCCTCGTGGTGGACCAGTGTCCTCGGGCTCCATCGTTGCGACGACGTTTGCTCCAACGCCGGTGTGGAGCTTGGGAGGTAGTCCATGAACGGATGCACATTGTGATATGCATCGACGACATCTGGAAGACAGAACATGTGCTGGATTCATGGTTGATAGATGGCAGGTATGGCTCCCTCCTTCGACGTCTTAGTCGTGGTAGGGTGCCAAATCTGGAGTTCGACGGTGTGTCTGGGGTGTTGCCCCCGTCTGATTTGTTCAACGGTAGTGGCTTACTTTTGGTGAGTCACCTTGGAGGTCCGCAAAGTTGCTTATCAACGATGGAGCCGTGTCGAGCTCGGGTGAGGAGGTGATCCGTCATTTTTTTTTCTTTGGTGACTCTGTGGTGGTGCCGGAGGCAGGTGACGGGAGTTGGTGTTAAGTTCAGCGATGTTCTGCTATCTTTTCAGTTTTGTCATGTCGGTCTTTACATGACTTGTACTTTGTTTTTCATGATATCAATGAGACATGTATTAACACGTAAAAAAGTCAAAAATTCTAAAAATATTTTCAAAATAAACTTGATCTTACTTGTATTAAAAAATCACATAAAGGAAAATAAAACCGTTGACTTCTTTTCAAGAAAAACAAAATTTTTGGTCGAAATAGTGTGAGTAGAGACTTATAATAGCAAGTATTTTTTTGCATTTTTACTCTGAAGCCAACACTGGGTTTTTATTCGTGAACATTTATATACTGGTGCAAAAAAGAAGTCAAGTTTATTCCAAAATAAACTTCTAAACTTTTTTGTGAAAAAAAAGAAATTCTCATATAAGATGTATATACAGCCAGAAACCCCCGAGCATACTGCTAGTATTTGGGTTTTTTCGAGTGGATGGTAGTAGTTAGTTTGACCGTGTGTGTACATGGGTTTATGTTCAAATTTTCAGAGTGGACATATTACTCCATCCAGAATGTAACTCTAAGAAATTTATTTATATTATAAAGACGTGCCTTTAAATCTCTATTTTTAATGAAGCAGTTGGTAGCCTGGTACTTCGGTTTTATTTTCGTCCGGATTTATTTCCTCTCACCTCCCACCACCATCTCCCACGGGTTTTCTTATTCATTGGTTTATTTTTTACTTCACTATTTTCTTTTAAAAAGTAGCACTTTTCAAACATACAAAAGATCACGGATCTAACTTTCCTAACATATCCAAATCAACCAATCTCTCTTATTCAATTTGCTTTAGAAAACAAATAATAGATTTTCGGGAAACAAATAAAGAATTTTAAGAAAATTAACAAGTAAACCATGACAAACAAATCTTATTGTGGAAGTGTTATTTTTCCCCTACTCCTAATGTAGGAGTTCGTATGTGGTTTCGTTCGTTTGTACCCTTCGACCCCACTCCCACCGATCCCCTCGCCCACCGATTTTCTCTATATCGGTTTTATTGAAAGAAGAAAGTCGGCAGGCAATCGAGTTTTCTGAACGCTATCTCCCATGTCTCATAGCCAAAAAAGGGAACCCTCCTTGTCCAGATTTTCTTTTCCTTATGCACATAATAACATTTATTCCATATACAACACCAATCAGACTACAGTCTTTCCGTATATACAACTGATACCTCCATGACTCCATCTCCTCTCTGTTCAAATCGCCATGTTTGTCCGTGGTTCCTCGTCTCGGCGAGGATCCCCGGAAGCGAGGCAAATTTTGCCATCGGAGCAGGAGATGACGGGGCACATGACGACAACGCGCCCCGCCGCTACGACCGAGGAGGAGGAGATGGTCATGGCCGCCTCTGCAGCGGTCAGTGCCGCGCCACCGGACGCAGACGATCGGGAGCACTAGAAGAAAGTGCGGGCGAGGAACAAGAAGAAGCGGCGGAGGGTGCCGAGCGAGGAGGAGCTGGCCGCGCTGAGGTCCGTGCTCCGCTGGGCCCGCCACGGCAGAGGCGGACGACGAGGAGGAGGCGGACTACGCGCACCTGTTGCCGGCTGGGAGGCGGCGGCCGCGCGTGACGGTGGAGCTGCATGCGCACTCGGCGCGCAGCGACGGCTTGCTCTTGCCCGCGGCGCTCGTGGAGCGCGCACACCGCAATGGGGTAAGCCTTTCTTCCCGCCTGTCACCAACTGCATAGACGTTCACGACGTGCTCGACGAAACAACTGGCTCCAATGTTCTTCAGTTCCGTAATAGCCGATGCCATGTCCGAGCTCATCCTCGTGTGCTGCTAAACACCTCCGCCGCCACTTCTTTTACTCTTGCTATGCTTTGTTTCGGAAGGATGATGCCTAGCACGTTCGCACACTAACTCTGTTACCTGGTGATCAGTACAGGTGAAGGTGCTCGCACTGACTGATCATGACACCATGGCCCGTGTCCCGGAGGCGATGGAGTCGGCAAAGGAATTTTCCATCAGGATCATCCCAGGTGTTGAGATAAGCGCCCTTTATTCGCCTAGGTAACCCTTTTCTCGCCACCCTAAAATTTGTAACACGCCTTGATGGTCACACAGATGTGGTTAATTCTCAAAGTTGTTAATTGTTCTGAAAGCAATGGATCAGGAGCGGATGAACTTGTTCATATTATCGCATACTACGATAGTTGGGGCCCTGGGAAATCTCAGGAAGTAGAGAAGGTTCTATCTAGCATCAGGGAGGGCCGCTATACACGTGCCAAGGAGATGCTATCGAAATTTAGGAACCTCGGCATGCCATTGAACTTTGAAGATGTGTCTACTATAGCAGGGAATGGAGTGGCTCCAGGGCGGGTGCACGTGGCGCGTGCCATGGTTGTAGCTGGATATTTTGATAATCTTTTTTTAAGCCCAGAACCGTGGAATAATCGTTCTACGGTATATTTTCATTGAAAGAAAAAAACAACAAAAAAGAAAAGGAAAACAGTATCTGCATAAATTGGTAACATGGGCAAGCTTTCAGCAGGTACTTGTACGATGGAGGGCCTGCTTATGCTACGTAAGTATACATTTTTAATCATGGTCATGCATGTTTTTGCTTCATTTCGCAGCAGATGCAGAGTAGTTAGTTTATACTGATGTGGATTTCTGTTGTTCATTTGTAGTGGCAGTGAGCCAGATGGGAATCTGTTGTGCAGCTAATATATACAGCTGGGGGCATAGCTGTTTTGGCTCATCCGTGGGCATTGAAAATCCTATTCTTGTGATAAAGGATTTGAAAGTTGATGGTCTGCATGCTATTGAGGTCTATCGAAGCGATGGAAAACTATCTAGTATGAATGGCATGATCATTTTTCAGTCATAACAAGTGATACTTTATGTTACCAATTTATGCAGATACTAATGATGCATCTAACGTATATGTCTATTTTATGCCTTCGTTGAGAAGAAAATGTCTAATGTATCTGAACTTCAATGGAATTAACTGCTGAATTTGTCTAAACCAGGTTTGAGTGATCTGGTTGATACTTATGAGCTTCTGAAGCTCGGTGGATCAGATTACCATGGACGAGATGACAAGGAAGAACCTGATATAGGAAGCGTTGATCTTCCAGTCTTGGCATTTTTTAGATTTCTTGAGGTAGCTCAACCAATTTGCTGCAATGCTATCAAGGAAATTTTTGCAAACACCACTGAAAGATCATAAGTATATATGGCCCAAAAGGATGTCATCGGACTATCTCTGTAGATGATTTATGTAATAGGTGCCTTTCTTCTCCAGAACTGGAGGAAACAGGTGATTCTGAGATTGAGGTCCTCCGGGGGAAACTTGCAGACAGACGACAATTCTGTTCATAAAGGAACCATCGTTCTCATCGGCGGCTGCAGGCTGTTGTGTGACACAGAGATCTCATTTTTCTAGCAACTACAGGCACTCAGTCAAGCACTAGGAAGAAGGGAGTTGGTCAGACGATTATCTGATGACCTGATATGCTACCTGGTGTCTTTTAGTAACAAATATAACTTCTTCTCCAGAAAAAAGAACATTGAGAGGCATGCTACAGTTTATTTTGCCCTGAGAATTGCTCATAATTTTGTAACAAAGACAAACATGCCAGTAGACCTCTTACACTTGACTCCGGCACCTCTTTCTAGAAATAGATGGAACTGAAGTTTCCTGTTCGATATTTTTACATACCTTTTGTCTAGGCCAAAGGTGTGATTCTTCAGGGTTAATACTTCATATATTGTTAGCTCTTGATTCTTGTAGGACATTTATGACAATTTAGCTTCAAATCTATTCGTATTTTTTCTGGGACATTTATAAGTGTGTGCCCAAGCTTCAAGTATGTATAGTGCGCACACTTTGTTCGACAAATTATAATCCCAATCAAGGTCAAAATCGATGCATATATGACATCACAAATCTCCTCCAAGGAATGATCATATAAAAAAGACACTTAAAAATACAATTCGTTCGAAGTATGTTGTTTTCCTTTCTTGAACTTGTATCCCGTCATTTATTAATATTTATTTACACGTCCATTAACGTATTATGAAGCTAATTTTACATAACATTACAGGGGCATGAATGAATAAGGAGTGAATTTAGATCATGGCCCTTCAGGTTTGAAGGTATTGTTCATGTAAATTTGTTATTCCTACTAAAATTGACATACTAATCCTACATGCTCCTAAATATTCTTGCAGGGATATATTATGATAACTCCCCAAAATCAATACTGTATAATGACAGAAGTTGATAATCTATATCAGTAGGAGCAAGCTTTTTTTAGGGCCAATGACAGTGGGAAAGGCTCTCACTGACTTTTTTTTTCTTTATTAAAATATGTTAGGGGTCAACTATACAAATTTTTTCTTCCTCTGCTCCAAGAAAACCATGGAAACATGGTGGAAAGGACTAAAACAAAATAATTGAATGAACTCTTTATAGCGGAGAAGGTAAGAAAAAAAATTCTTCTTCTACTCCAAGTTTCACAACTCTAAATCTTTCAGTTGTAGAAGATAGCAAAATGGAGATTAGACTAATTTTCCTTCTCATTTTGAAGATCACAACAACATCTACTCCATCACAACGCACAGGAACCTTACTGGTAAGCGGTTACGTCAAAAAGAATTTGGAAATCAACAATCATCAGTTGTGAGATAACAAAATAATCACATCTGACTTGATCACTCAAAAGAACTTATGCAGGAGAGAACCCTTATTGTACCACTGCTCACGCCATAATTTATTTGATTCAAGTGGAGAGCTTTTCTATTCCCCCAAAGCCCAAGATATACAACATTGTTTGAGAGAAAGGTAACAACCTGAGCAGATTCTAGATAAGAAGAGGTCGAGGAAGATTCTGTTCCTCAATTTTTAAAGTCACGGAAGTGCATGAAGCTAGATTTGAGAATGAGACTGAGAAGAAAAGACCATGGGGTGATCAAAGTACAACAGGTGGTTCAAATAGAATGTTTAGAATACATATGTATACAGTTCAATTTCAGTTTATAGAAATGAAAAGTTTGGTACATCTCGACTGAAATAAAACTCAAACGCCCGGGCGGACACCCAGTCAGTGACTGGTCACAAAAAAGTGAACCCGACATTTTGTTTAAACGGGTCTCAAATGCCCGCGTTGATCGACGCCCTTCATATCCAATCCAAATCTAGGGCGGACATGGGGCGCCCAGGTGCGTTCGCCACGTCAGACTCTAAAGCCCTACCCCAGCACAGATTGCACCAAATCCATCAAACTCTTTCTCCTCCTCCCATTTGCCACCTACCTTTCCCGCCGTCGAGCCCTCACCATCCGCCACCCTTGACCCTTCCTCATCGCCGGTCCCGATCCGTCGCCCTAGATGTCGTCCCGCCCATCCCCGACCACCGCGACAGAGGTTGTGTCCGCCTCGTCCGTCGGTGTCCCGTCCTTGCCGTCGAGGGATTTGAGGAGAAAGGGGCATGAGAGATGGAGGGGAGGGGAGGTATCGACCGACGTTGCGGAGGGAAGAGGAGGATGCGGTGATGCCGTCGAGGGGAGGAAGGTGGCAAGGACAGAAGCGGATGGGCTCTAGCAGTGGCGCGAAGAGGAGGAGCATCGACGCCCTGGAGGAAGGATGAGGGGCCGATTGACATCGCGGAGGATAGGAGGGGTCGGACGATGGTGGAGTGGAAGGGGCACCATTCCTGCGAATGAAACTGGCGACAACATTTCTGATATTGTGAATGAATATCGTAAGCGTATCAAGTAATTCTTGGTTCATCACTCTCTATGTATACATAGTCTAATTAATTTTTTATATGAACTTAAATCGCAAGTGAAGTAGATTCCAATTATTACCCAATTGCACTCATGCTATCTCCAACATCCACTATGTTTATATATAAACTCAACCAAAATATTCCAAAAGCCCGTGGCAACACACGGGCATTCTACTAGTATAGATTAATGGCCTGCTTAATTTGATGCCAACGTTTGGCATTCCATTGTTTGGGCATAAAACACCGAGCTTATGAATAATTGCTAAATATTGGTAAATTTGATTTACTAAATGTTGTCTTGCCAAAATATTGGCTAGCCTATTTTTAGTTGAAGACCAAACATTCACTACCAAACACACGTGTTTTTAATCGAAATAAAAAATTTATCATAAGCATACTGTTTCAGTGATGCAGTGACCTATGTAGAGTTTGCATAATCGAAACTACTGTGTCAAAAACGCTCTTATATTATGGGACGGAGGGAGTAGCTCTTTTTGTCGTTGTCACCTCTTCCGTGTTTGTTGGGGTTGATGCATTCCGTGTTGTACAAATACCTTTTCCTTTTCTTATTTAATATATATATATATATATATATATATATATATATATATATATATAGGAAAATGGTTGTGTACTCCTGAGAGTACGTACTCCCACTTCTCATATACCACATAGATAAATCTTGTATACCACTTTATTATTTTTAATATACTTCATTAGTAATTATTAGATATCCCAAAATGAGTTCCATGAAAAAATTCATGTGAGTCTACATATTTTTAAATGTTTATGTATATACTGATGTGTTTGTAAGTGAAAAAGGTATATTACAAAAAGCACATCGCAGATGATATTTTTTCAACAAAACTCGTATTGAGGTATCTTAGAATATTTAATGAAGTATATTGAGAATAATAAAGAGATATAATTAATGCGTATATGAGGTATATTGAGAATGAGAGTACATACTCCCAGGAGTAACAACGCGGAAAGAATTCTGTGTTCTCAAGAAAAACATGCAATAACCAAATTTCCTCTTTGAAATGATGGGAAAGAGATACATAACTATATAATTTTGTTCAAAAGAACATGAGAGAAATAGTCGTGAAAATATATAGTATGAATCCTTTAGACAAAGAAGGATCGGTTTGTGTTGTTGAGTGATAACAAAATGAAGTTTTCAAGCTGCTATTCATAAATAAAGAAGACTAGATTAGTACTTCTACTGCCCATGGGTAAGTGAGATTCGGTCGATCTCCTTGATTCATTATCATTAATAAAACAATCGTAAAGCTTTTGTGTGATTATATGTGACAATAAACTCATTTTATGAAAGACTGAAAAAGGAAATATGAATAATAAATTTTCCTTTTCACAAGAATGAGAGATAAATGGTAGCTAACATACATACATACATACACACATACATACATACATACATGAATTCTTCATATGAAGAGGGTTCAGTGTATTGTATTGTTGTTGAGCTAAAACGAAGAAGAAGAACTGATTGAAGTTGATAAAAACAGAGAATGGGTACAAATAGGTTTATGTCCAAAATCTGAGAGATAATATATTATCCTAGAATGTACCTCTAGGAAGTTTATTATAATTTAGAAGCTCGAAGATGTACCTTTAAAAATATATAAAATGTGCAATGCAAGGGGTTTAAATCAAAATAAAAAGTGTTACCAAGAGCCTATCAATTTGGTGATTCGATGGCCCATGTAGAGTTTGACATAACTAGCTAATCAAAACTTCTAGCTCTCCACACCGTTGCCATTTTTCCTTTGTTTGTTGGGGTTGGCGCATTTCTTGCTGTACACTCCCTTCATTCTTAAATATAAATCTTTTTAGAGATTTCAATATGGACTACATACGAATGTATAGACATAGTTTAAAGTATAGATTCACTTTGCTCCGTATAGTTTATATTAGGAAATCTCTAAAAAAACTTATATTTAGGAACGGATGAAGTATAATTTTTTAATCTTTTCTTTCTTTCAAGAAACAACACAGAAAGAATTCCGTGATGAAAAAGTGTTAGACTATGTATAGCTTTTGTACTTATGTACGTATATTGTACGTATTGTAACACATCCATTATATATAATGAGATAAGCCACCCCTAGAGGGTTGTGCTGGTTCCCCCAAAACTTATTGTCTTACATGGTATCACGCTAGGTTACGATCGCTTCCGCTTCCAAACCCTAATACCCGTACCGCCGCCGCAGCTGCCGCCGCCTTCACCGCCGCCATGTCGAGCGCCGCCACCACCGGTTCCACTGCTGCGGGGTTCCTCCCGGCCTCTCTTGCGGCTCTGCTCAACCTCCCGCTCGATGCCGTCGCCGTTCCGGCTCCGATCGGGACCAGGAGCATCGGCTCCGTCTACTCCACGCCGCCGGCGCCCTCGCTTGGGCGCGACCTCGTGGTCCACA